TTCTGTGATTCTGTGATTCTGTGATTTCACTGAGCTGCCTTCGGGTCCTTTTCGTATTTTGCAGTGGTGACTAGAGAGGAAACTGTCTTCAGACCAGAGGCTGGCAGAGGTTGAGCAACAGCTTAATCCAGCCTAAAAGGATCCTGAATCAAAGATAAACATTGAAGGCCAGATCATTATTGAATGTAAATTAGCGTAGCTCTATGAACTTTCCGTTTAGACATATCCAACTTATACTAGCTGAAATACCGATGCGCAGCAGAAGAAAGTAAAAATTACATGGTATTTTGTATGTAAGAGATGCTTCCGGTATACATCTTCATAAATGCTTTTAGTGGCTTCTGGTATTAAAGGTGTGTTACTTGGATATTATAATCCCTGATTCTGTACATTTACATGTCCTGGATACTGAAGTGCACGATTTTGCTTTAAGATTGTGTTCAATATTTTCATCACTGAATGCCCATATTTGGCTTCAAAGTCTATTTAGGTACTAAAATAAATGACCTGATTTTTGAGAATGCATTATTTCTCATCTGACTTCGTAAGAGCTCGTAGGTACTTAGTGTTTCTGAAATTAGGCCGGTTATTTAGGTGCCAAAATCTGGAAACAGAAACCTTACTTCAGACTGACAAGTAGAGAATTTTGGCTTCGTCTGTGCTGCTGTGTTAATCAGAAACAATTCAGTCAGTAGGTAGCTTCTGGCAAACTTTTTTTTTTCCCCAAATCCCTGTAGGTTAGTACTTACCCATGATGTGCATGTAAGGCAATAGCTTTACTTCATTATCTTCATGCTAGTACAGGGAGGTAAGCAGAATTGTCTTTGGAGCTGTTAAGTATTTGTGAGACTGCATGACTGTATAAAGTTTATATGTCACGCAGACATGATTTGACTGAATTAAGTGCTCTCCAGAAGACCTTTCTGGTGACATTTTAAATGTTCTCTAAAATTCTTGTATGTTATTTGAAAAAAAAAGATACTTTGTTTGCTTACTTAAAAATGAAAGACAAAAAAAAGCATGTGACTTTCACTTAATTTTTTATTTTTATTTTAGGTTGGCATCAAGTACCAGTTTTTCTAATCAAGCAGAAAGGTATGGTAGCAAAGGATACCTTGGCCAAAATGAAACGATTACTCTAAAGCCTCATTCTCCCTGGCCCTGAAATCACCTGAATTTAACTTTTAAAAAATTTAGTTAAGGCTTGTGAGCAAGAGGAAAAACCTGTCCTTTCCCACTTGTTTCAAGTATCTCATGTGTTCTGAAGATGAACAGGAACCTATATTCATATGTATTGATCTTGAAAAAACTCAGATTCAGACGTAATTTAAAGATGCCTTAGGGTTTCCACAATTTCAGTGCAGTTTTTTCTAGCTTGTTCTGTGTTCAGTATTTGTCTTGATAAACATCCCCATACATTCAGTCAAGTGAATCATCCTTGGCCATAGAGAACCCCTGGTAGTGATGTCTCATTTGTAAATCAGATACTAATAGGATATATTCATTTTGAGAAGCTGTAAAAATGTTAATAAGTGCAGTTTATGAGTAAATAGATAATACTTAATTTTTTAAAATGAAAACATTTTATGAGTGATTAGGAAATACTTAATCTCTTGAAGAAAACAGCAAAATGCAAATTAATGTTTTAACGTGTGTGTTTACCTGTTGTTCATGTGTTTTATGGTAAAGCCAAGAACCCCATCCTGTATCACTGAAATACACAAGGTGAGACCAGGATTATATTTCAAACTCAGATGACTCACAAATAAACCTATGTGGAGAATCAGGAAAAATGCACTATTTATTGAGACTTAAATACTTTAGGTATGTGTATATAACTTCTTCAGCTCTGCATAGTCAAGCTGAAGTCATAAAACCAGCATGCTGAACTGTTTTTTGGTATCAGGACAGTTCTGCTTTTGACTGTCTCCCCCATAACTGAACACTTCCATAATTAAGAAGAATAGGATCATCTTTATTTTCTTCATGTAGTCAGCTTTGAGAAGTGTTTCATCTGCAATGCAATTTCTTTTTTCTTCTTTTTCCTTCCCTTCATTTCAGCATGATGATCCCTGGAAATGCTGCAGGTGTGGCCAAGCAATTCCTCCGTTGTGTGTTCCATCAGCTGGCTCCCAATGGCATTTTCCCCCAGCTCTTCCAGAGCAATATTAAAGGTAATGTATGGTACCTGAGTGCATTTCTGATCCTTTCAGTTACCTATATATGATTAGTTAGTGTAAAAATGTAATTTGAATTTCAGATGGAAGTTTTTTACGGACCTTGGCAACGTCTCTTATGGACTTCAGTGAGCTGAGTTCCATTGCTGCTCTGAGCCAGCTGTTAGAGGTATGTTGGCAATCAGCTCTGTTAATGGTGCTAGTTTTATTAGCATTATCGGGCATATTGGATAATTTCTACTCGTTCATTAGGAGTTCAAACTTACGTCACCAAAAGTAATGTAAATTTTTGTTTTGTCCTCTCTGGAAGCAGAATTAGGCTGTCCTCACCATTTTCCTTCTGGGTTTTGCTCTCACTGATAGCTTTTTTTTTTTTTTTTTTAAACTCAGACCAGCTCCTGGAGCTGTCCCACACATTGGTAGTGTGTGCCATCCCTTCACCCAGCACTATTTCTAGTTTTCAGAAACATTTCTGCTCATACATCTCAGTTCTCCCTCTCTCCTGTATCTGCTGGCAGTTTCTCAAGTAGTCCAAAGATTTATTGTCTGCCTTTTGCTGACTGCCTTCTGTGCTCTTGGCTTGTTTCTGCTGTAACTTTTATCCTTCCACTAGCACTAGTCACTTGCAGGTATCCTGCTCTTCCAAGAACATGGCAATTGCTTCATACAAAGGTTTTGACATCCCTTTAAAACTGCTTATGTCTTTCCAGGCCTGACTGTAGTACACAAGCCAAAAAGCATACATCGTCTACTGAACATTAATGAACACGTTTTGTTTAAAACTGTCCAAAGGAGAACATGGGCAATCCAGTGGTGAATACAAGTTCTGCTTTTTTTTACTGCCATACCGGTCTAAGCAGGTGATGAGTTAGGATCCTGCTTGTAACGTTTTGGCTCAAAATCTTTTGGTCAATACTTCAGGAACTGAACTAAACTTAACTGTCATGTATGCAGTTCAAATTCCCTGCACAACATTTTATCATTAGCATTACAGAAGAGCTAAGTAGTATTTGGTCTGAACAAATTAAGCTCGGCATTTCCAAATACTGTTTAAGGGACCATTTCTGTATGTGTACATTTGTTTACAGTTCTCATTTTTTTTCCCCAGGGTTTAAACAACAAAAAGAATTTACCAGCAGGGGGTGCAATGCTACGCTGTTTGGAAAATATTGCTACTTTTATGGAAGCATTGCCGATGGATTCACCCAGCAACCTCTGGACCACAATTAGTAACCAGTTTCAGACCTTCCTTACCAAACTCCCTTGTGTTTTGCCACTTAAGGTATGATGTATGGACATCTGAAACGAGCTATACTGCCATTGGTCAGGATGTACCGAAAGAGTGGGAAAGCTGTGGATGAGAAATCAGAGCGAGTTGTTGTAAATATTTTCTAATAATTCAACTAATATTTCCAGATGAAAGGATATATTGTATGTCTGATCCATCCCTTTAATTATATTTTCCCTGGGTAACAATAACAACCCTGACAGGAGTACTTTTCACCTCTTGTTGGCTTTTTTCCTTTACACTTTCCATGCCCTGTTTTTGTCAGATTAGAATACTGCATTTGAGAGAATCAGCATTTTGGCAGTAAAAATCCATCTGGTTTTAACTGTTAAAACAAAATAAACTTCCCAAGAAGTTTAGCACCACCTAATCAATTTGCTAAAAGTACACAATAGTCAGACAGGCAGAGAACTAAGACTACTGGGGATTGAGCCTCACCTGTTTGGCTGACCAGGTTGTAGTTCTGGCTGTAATCAGCATATAGTTGCAGAAACTGAATCTAGAAGCTTCAAGCTCTGATTTCTGAGTGCTCAGAGGACATACAGTGGGATCTTATCTCCTGGTGTGTACATTTCTGGATATCTTTCCAGTAAACACAGTTTCTAAGTCTTTCCAGTAAACATGGGATTCTGATGCTCTTATTCTGACTTTACTTCCTATGGCATGAATCAGCCCAGTGGCAATTTCTTCTGTGCAAAACAGTGTTGCACAGTATGAGCCAAGGGATCCAAAATCTAACTTTATGACTTATAGCATTGCTTTTAAATTGGGTGTCACCACCAAATTACATGATTGATATTAAATTCCTTGGCACTATTATGCAATAGTCAGATCTTGAAATCTCTTTGGATTTTGGTAAATTGAGGCACTATGCTGTAGCACTTACTAAGCCAAACAGGTAATAACCATTCCCTTTGCATACTAGCCATTCCAATCTGTTGCATCTTGTCTAATTGAAATAAATAAAAAGAAATTAGTTGGTTCTTAATAGTTCCAACTGCATATCTGCCATTCACAGAACATTTAGATGGAGTGTTTACTCTGATTTCCTTTTTATTTGGGAGAGGTGTCATTAGTGTTACAAATAAAACAATTGCTGGCTCCTGAACTTCCCATCTCCTGTTCCTTCCTGTAGGGTCAATAAATGACTCTCTGCTGTTCTAGATGTTTGCAGCAGGGATGAGGCAAGACAATGGATAGACCCTGAAAAGTCCCATTCGCTGCTACAACCTGCCTGATATATGCAGAAGAAAAATCTTACACCATAAGGAACAACTTTAGAGGGGCCTCTGGAGCAGCTATTGCCAGGGCGCATTCTGATGTTACGGGGTGTGAGTTGCAGCTCTGTCTTGGGGTGTGGGGAAAAATTAGCTCAGGACAACCACAGAAATACAGAATGAGGTAGATGGTTCATACCTCCTTGATAACCCACTCTTTTTTTAATTTTTTCCCCAATCCTTTTTTATTAGAGCAGAAATACATTTTTAGGAAATCTTTGTCATAAGAGGGGTAAAGTTAACTTTTCTAAACTAGCCTTTTTGTGAAATTTCATCATCTTAAGGCCCATGGTGTGGTATGTTACAACTGAAGGGGTATGATTGTCTGTTCAGGAGTAAGACAGTTTAGGCGAAGTAAGTAAAGATCCATCATCAGGGATCATTTTTCAGATTTCACCTATAACTTATTCATAGCTGCTACCACTAAAAACAAAATGTGCACAGAAAGGTACTAACTCTGGTTGTTTTGTGTTTTTTTTTTTTTTCCCCTGCCTTCAAATATGTTCACAGTGTTCTTTAGATTCTAGTTTAAGAATCATGATTTGCTTGTTGAAGATACCTACCACTAGTGCCACCAGGGTAAGTTCCAAGAAGACAAAACTCTGTTGCCTCAGATTTAGCCAGCCTGCGCTATTCTATGAAAATGTTCTTACCCCCTAGCTAGGAAAGTACTATATATAAGAATAAAATTGTGCAGTCCAATAATCTTTGGAGACTGGTAAGAGCTTTGGAATCTAGGTTACAGTAAAGTGTGGGTGGGATTACATTCCTGTGTGGGTGTGAATGTATATCCTTAAAGATTTGATGTTCTCTTTTTCTTTTTTTCCCCATCCTGTTTTTTTTCTTTAAGAAAAAAAAAAAAGCAGCAGATAATGAACTTCCTTAGGAGTTCTGCAGTACAATTCCACTGAGATCAGTGAGGTTTTACTGCACAAACACTACAGAATCTCTTGTATCTCCTAAGCATTGTGTCAGAGGTGAAACTATTTTCTGATTTTTTTTGCTTCTAATTTCTCATACAAGCATGAAGGCAAATGCTAGACAGAATAGCCATTTGACTGAAACAGTGTAAATCCCAGCAGGACTGCCTTTGAACTAAAAATAATGCTGTTCCATTCAGGTGTTTCAGAGTTGGAATGCTTTTTGTTTTGCTGAGCAACCAGTTAATTGATTTCTTTAAATCACATCATTGCAGAGTCTTCTGGAGCCTTTTTCAAAATTACTAAGCTTTGTAATTCAGAATGCTGTCTTCACTCTGGCCTACCTGGTGGAACTGTGTGGTTTGTGCTACCGAGCCTTCACTAAGGTAACAATGAGACCATATCTTCCTTTTAGGGACAAGTTAAAATAGGACAAAGTCCTACTTCCCTCAGATAGTATGTTTGTAAGTAAAGATGAAATCAGTTTCAAGTTTCAGACATGTCAACAGTTTTGTTGTAGTTTGGCTAATCAAGTAGTGATCATGATTCAGTGTCTTTTAATAGTACTGAGTTTCACACTCACGATATAGACACAGGTAAAGGGAACCTGCCAAAAACATTGCTCAGAAAAGTATTTTGGTGTGTTTTCGTGACTTGGAAATTTTTTTCTCTTTTTAGAGATGATATCTGGTATTCATGCATGACTTAAAATGTCTCTACAGTCATATCTTTCCTAGTGCACAAGTTTAGCCATGTACCTTGTACAGTAAAAACTTAAATATTCCTTCTAGTGCCTTTTGAGAGCACAGCTGTGAGAGGAGGCAAAAAATAGCTAAGTAAAGTGGAAGACTCCAGGTTAGGAGCTTCCCAGCTTGGATCCTGTTTCATTCTGTATTAGATATCTCACTTTGGCATGCATGGCTATAAGCTGTGTAGAAAAGAGAACAGTATGTGTGCACCTTTAAGAAGTTTTTAAGATTCCTGGATGAAAGCTATGGTGTACAAATAACATTCAGTTATTACTCAAGTTCATTTTTGTTGCTATTGGTAAGAAGTTGAACAAAACAAAATCCACAAAAAACAATCAAACCTTTTACTAAGGCCCTATATGCTGCATTATGTTAATGTACTGCACAAAAATGTTGCTTCAGCCACTAAGTGCACAGTTTTCCATCCTTGATACACTTGTCAAAACAGTAATTAATCCTCAGGAAATGTTCTCTCATCAGTAGCTACATGATTTTTTATATTGATAATGTAGAACTGTAACACAGGTTGCTTCAGTCTTGGTAAGACTTAAAATATCACTGGACAAACAGTGAAGAAGAAAATATAAAATCAATGACAGTCTCACAGAAAAACTGCTTGCTGTAATTAAACATATTGTTATTTTCTGTTTAATGCTTCAAACCATTCCATCTGGTAAAAGTTTTCCTTATTTTTCTAGTGGTGCAGTTTGTCTCATTTGAAAGAGAAGCATTTATGAAAGAAAAAAAAACCTGAATACAGAAGAGACTGTCCAGCTTTTGGAAGTAATTCGAGTTAGATCTGTAGTTAAGGCTTTGGCCAAGGCAAAGTGAGAAAAATGTTAAAGTCCAACCATGGGGTTTTTTCATTGAAATGAAGAAAACCCCATTTAAAACTGAAGCAAAGATGTTCCTCTTGCATTTGTGGTCTGATAAGACTCTTTCATGTACGCCTGCTAAAGCAAGTTGTGAAATACAGGAAATATTTCATTCCCTTCATGCTCTGCAGTTTCAGTTATTTCAAGAAAATTTTATTAAAACCATGGTATTAAAAAACCCTATGCTTTTCTTGCATGCTTCCTAGCTCAATTAATATATTGAGTACTTAACTGCACACAGGAAGCTTGTATTATAGCACTTGGTAAAATCTCTATCTTGATTTAGTTTAATGCAACCTCGTGACCCAGGAATGGAATCATTAGTGAATGATCTCCTGCAATTTATAGCCACAAAATGCTTAATTTAGTGGAACTCCACACTACATTATCTTTGTTATTTCTGAAAGCTTACCATGGTTTTGGATTAGAAATATCAAATTAATGACTGCCGTTAGAAAAAAACAAATCAGTTTTGATATCTCTGTTTCTCGACAGTGGAAGTCACTGTAGCCAACTAATAGTGTTGTTTGTGATAGAATACCACATAGAAGTGAATTCCAGAAGGCATATAATTTGTGAACATTGAAAGTATTCAGATTTAATTACTTGTTTTGCAATTTTGAATGTGCTGGCTGGAACAAAACACCAACTTTCAGCTAAGCTATGGAGTATTCTTGTCTTTTGAAAGACCAAGCCACTCTGACATGCACTTTGTAGAGGTCAGTGCTGTACAACCACTCCAAATCTTTTTTTATTTCCAACATTTTCCTAATACCCTGTGGCAGGAATATCTCACTTTCTCTTGTCTTGGAGCCTGAAGACTCATGTCAATCTGATATTTCCTTGTCTGAGTTTCTGTTCCAGGTCAGCAATTTGATTTTTTCAGTGCCTTTGGAACTCTCAGTTGAGAGTAGCATCTCTTCTGTGGATTGTAATCTTATCTTTAGTTTTCCTTTCAAGTATCTTAAGGACCTAAATGGACACATTTGGCTTTCTTATCTCGTGCAGCTGCAGAAGCTTGAACCTAAACTTAGCCTTTTGCTAGCATTCTGTTGATCCTTATTAAGTAAATGCAGAATGCCGCTGAATTGGACATCACATGATTTTGCTATTGAATTTTTTTACAGAATCTTGAAGTGACTGATCTTCAGTATTTGTAATTACTGTAGTAGCAACAGAGATAAAATCAAGAATTTTGCTTTATACTGGCTTATTTGGAGGATAGCATACCACTCCATTAAAGAACCAAATTTACTAATCTTATTACTAAGTTTGGGACCTGAGATATTGCTGGAAAAAACTTCAGTCTTTTCACTTCCTACACATAGACCTCTGGCAAGTCACAGTTTGAAGGTTGCAAGGCGTTTTTCTTATAGGGATGCATAGACATTCTAGTGAGTTAATTTGGCTGAACAGAGGCTGAAGGGGTTGTATTCTTGATTCTTTGGTCCCAGGTTTACACGTATGACTCCCCTGGGCGTTATTCTCATGGAACTAATACCCGTTTAGAGCTCTGTTGCTGAATATAAAGTTCTTAAAGTATGTATAAACCATATTTATATATATTTATCATCAGCAGAATGATAGGAATAAGTAGACTTCAGCA